GCTTTATTTTAAACTCCATGTGCTCCTGAGCCAAGCCCCAGACATGCCCAAAAGAGGCAGTGCATTAGTTGGACCCAGCTCACCTGAATTCTGTATAGATCAGGCACTTTAGTGGACCTTTTTTCTAACAGCTGATTGAATCAGCTATTAGTTAAAGCACCAAAAAGTCCTGCTGAAGCATCCAGTGCTGCTTCCTCCAGTAAAGCATGGTTTTTGTTTTGGGGTTGTTTTTTTTAAATGGGGGTGGGGGGAGAATTCTATTGTCTTCATTGCTGTTTAATTTTTGTTGTTATTATTTTGCATTTGATTCTATTTTTATGCTAGGAACATATATATGGTTGTACTCTTCTTGAATGCTAATTTCTCAGCACTATTTTCCTCTTTATTTTGTAGGGAGAAATGCCTCCTTCCACTCCAGCTTGCGTTGGAATCAAAGAACATGAAGTTAGCCCAACATGCCCTAGCAGGGATGCAGGTATGACTTAAAACTTGGATATATTTGATTTGCTATCTTACCACACGTGTAAAATGATAACTCCTGTGCCATTTAAATTCTGAGGTGTGAGTGGGATGTACTGTAAACACAGCTTTCAAGTTGAAGTACTGATCTATAGGGCTGTGCAAAGCTTTGGTTGCCGATTTTCAGTTCAGAGGAGATGTGGCCCGATTCGGCAACCAAATCTCCGAATCAAATCAGGAGACCCATTAATCTCTCCAAATTGAATCAACAGCCTCTGATTTCAATTTGGAGAGATTCAGAGAGATTTGACGATTTGGCCATAGACACAGCTTCATTTGTTTTTTCTACATACCAGGAGTGGCTGATGAACCCTGAGATGGTGGGGCAGATGGAGTGTCCCGTGGGAGCACGTGGGTGGGGATCCCCCACACGCTTAGTGGCCGACCCAGAACTGGGCCAGAAGCACTTCTGGTCCAGTTCCAGGTCCGTCGCAGAGTGCGTGGGGGACCCCCACCCTTCCCTCTGGCTCGGCAACTGGTGCCTCCTGGGAGGTCACCTGGGTTCCCCCTATGGCCAGTTGCTGAGCTGGGGAGATGTGGGGGGGGAAGTCCCTGCGTGCTTGGCGGCAGACCTGGAAGTAGATCAGAGGTACTTCCAATCCACTTCTGGGTCCACTGCGGACCGCGTGGTAGGGGGACACCCCATGCTCCTGTGGGACACTCCATCCGCCCCACCATCTCAGCGTTAATGAGCCACGCCTGGTACCTCAAGGTGTGTAGAAAAAACATATAAAGCTGTGGCCATGTCTGAATTGCTGATTCTCTGAATCAGCATTGAATCTTCAGATTTGGCCAGATTGAATTGGGACAGTGATCTGAATCAGTTAACTGAATCACTGTCCCCCGAATTGGGCCGAATCTGAATACTGCCTGCTTCACAGACCCCTACTGATCTAGTGATGTATGCACTGCTGCAGAGGTATTCTGCAACTAGCATGACTCTATTGAATTGTGTGGGAGCTGTCCTCTTTCCTAGTAAATAGGAGTGCCTGCTGTGCACTCCAGCCAGTGACTAAAAACCTGTGCTGATGGAGTCCCCTGTTCCTCTCCGATCATGTCAAATAATTGTGGTACTTCAGAAGCTGAAAGAGTAAATATAGGAACAAGTACTGAAGACTATTCTACAAATTTGCATCATAGAAGAATAGAAAATTAGGGTCAAAGGGACTTCAGGAAGTCATTTAGTCCAACCCCCTGCTTAAAACAGGACCATCCTCAACTAGATCGTCTCAGCCAAGGCTTTGTCTAGCTGGGCCTTAAAAACCTCCAAGGATGAAGACTCCACTATTTCTCTGGGTGTTTTACTACCCTCCTAGTGAGATGATTTTTCCTAATATCTAACCTAAACTTCCCTTGCTGGCAACTTGAGACTATTGCTCCTTGTTCTGTCATCTGCTACCACTGAGAACAGTTCAGCTCCATCCTCTTTGGACCCTTCTTCAGGTAGTTGAAGGCTGCTATTAAATCCCCCCTCAGTCTTCTCTTCTCGAGACTAAATAAGCCCAGTTCCTTCAGCTTCTCAAAAGTCATGTGCCCCAGCCCCATAACCATTTTTGTTGCCCTCTCCTGGACTCTATCTAGTTTGTTCACATCCTTTCTGTAGTGGGGGGCCCAAAACTGGACACAGTACTCCAGATGTGGCCTCACCAGTGCTTAATATAGGGAAATAATCACTTCCCTCAGTCTGCTGGCAGCGCTCCTATTAATGTAACTCAGTATTCCATTAGCTTTCTTGGCAGCACGAGCAAACTGCTAGCTCATAGCTTACTGTCTACTGTAACACCCAGGTCCTTTTCTGCAGAACTGCTGCCCACCAGTCAGCCCCCAGCCTGTAGTGGTCAGTTGGATTGTTCCGTCCTAAGTGCAGGACTTTGCACTTCTCTTTATTGAACCTCATGAGATTTCTCATGTCAACTTCCTTTGAAATATTTCAATTTCAAAATGTCTTAGTCATTAAAGCACAACAATTCTAAATGAATAGAAAGGTTTTATCAAATTGCAAGAGTAAATGTTTATGTAATGTAAGACTAGGAAAGCAGGCACGGACTTCAAGGAGCTAAAACATTTGTAGCTAACAGTACAGAAACAGAGCATTTATTTTTAAAATGAAGGCACTGAGATAGTAAATGCTTCCTACTTGGAGCATACTTTACAATAAATGGTTACAACTGCTCTTTAGCTAAATGCAAGCTGCTGTTCACAAACAAGGAATTCATTGCAAGAGAGAGAAGGCCTCTTTGGTACTTGCATGCCATCTTCAGGACATTTTTAAGTTTCTTGTCTCAGGCCAAATTAGCCATATCAGTTCAGAAGTCTAGCAACTGAGCAGTGCTCAATCAACCAAGTCTGTATGGTGCTACCACCAGCAAGTATCTGACCTCCCAGATTCTGCAGCCTGGGGTTTCAAATACTCCCAAATCCATGGCAGGCATCTTACGTGTAGGCCCCAAGCCCGGAGGCATTGGAGTTCGTATACCCCCAAGTCTCACTTGCCCTTAGCCAAAAGGCCAGAGGAGCCATCTTGAGGACATAAGTGGGATGTAGGCATGTATCAGGAGATCTTGTTCTGTGATAGGAGGACTCTGTTAAACTCTTGTGTTGGCATGGACATACCTAGGGAGTATGTTTTTAGAACTACAAGCAACCAAGAATTCCAGAAGGATTGTGAATTGACTTTTATCCTCTAAGGCTGAATCTCCTAATGAATCCACAGACTAGGATAATGGCATTTTTAAAACTTTTTAATTCGCTCCATATAAGCTTATCTTGGTTTTGTTAGATTTGGACTTCTGAAATTTAACCTTATATTTAAAACAGTACCTAAACAGAAATGGTTTTTAGGCTGACTTCAGTGTTGTTTCAGTACATTTTAATAACACATTTTGAACTAAAGAATAATTAAAGATGCGGAGCATAACAGAATACAAGAAAAATGCAATATGGGCTTAACAAAGGTAACATTTTATCTTGCTCTATAAGTAATGGTTTTCTAGACAGGAAATGTGGTAGATCTCATCCATGAGACTTTAGCAAAGTGTTTGATCTGCTGCCCCACTGAGAAATTATTAGTTGTAGTAATCCTATTTTCTCTAGTTTAAGAAAAACTAGACACATAAAAGGAAGAAGACAGCAGATTGTGTTGAAGTGGGATATATGGGACTGGAGGGAACTTATTATTGCTCAAGGATCAGTCCTGGGACCTATTTCATTTATACTTTCTTTAATGGATTTGGCGTGAAGAGTAGGAATGTGGTAATGAAATCTTCTGATGACATCAAGTTAAGAGACTGCAGTATAGACAAGGATTAGATTATACAGAAACAATATGAGTGAAGTGGAATAATAGCAGTGTGAGGGAATTCAGTAGAACAAAGTTCAATGGTAGGGTCATACATCTGGGGACTAATAAGAATTTCTGCAATAATAGTTTTAAAATACCTTTTCATCAGGTACAGATGAAACCCTAAAGAGTACCTCATAAAAGCTTGAGACCCCGTTCCAACCACATGATTCTATTTTAAAAAATCCATCTAGTCCAGGGTCAACAACGTTTTTGGTCAGAGTGCCAAGAATACCCACAGCCTTGACTTGTAAGATGTTGGCATGCCAGGGGTGGGTGGTAGGGGAGCCATCACGGGCCCAATCCTTGTTGTGGGAGTGCAGCCCCAGCCCCTTCCCTGCCATCTGCCTTGAGGCATATGTGCCTAACAAAATGCCTTCACATTTGTCCCACTCCAGCATCTATGCCGGGGGGTTGCCTACTTCTATTCTAGTCTATATAAAATGATTTTAAAAGCTGGACATTTTTCAGTTGGAAATAACAGACAAAGAAAGACCTGGCTCTCTAGGTTAGTCATAGGACCATGAGCTACCAATGTCATGCTGCCTTGAAGATGCCAAATGTATTCTATGGCTGCCTCAAGGGAGATATATATAGTAGATAGAAGGCAATTAGTAGTAGTAGTGCTATTGTATGAAGCAGTGGTGAGAATTCTCTTACAGTTCTGGTAAGCCTTATTGAAGAAGATTAAACTCAAACTCAAACTGGAACAGGATCAGACAAGGGCTTGATTGACCCCAAAAATGGAGAGCTCTCTTGTGGTAGAATAGGAGAGTTTGCCTTGTTCAGCCTAACAAAATAAAGGCCAAGAGGGGATCTGAATACTGTATGTAAATACACTGAAGGCTGAACACAAGGGAAGAATGGACAAATCTGGGGTAACAACAGTTAGGTATAAAACGGACTATAAATAAATTTAGGCTCAAAAGTGGAAGAAGGTTTCTCTCCATAAGAGGAGCAGTTGAACAGTCTTCAAATAGGAGTTGTGGGGGCAAAACACCTAGTAGTTTAAAAGTGGAGCTTGATCAGTTAAAAAATGGGGGGAGGGGACTTAGGATGCTACCGTGTGTGATCTCAGGGGACTGGATTGGATGAGCATTGGTAGTACTTCTGTTCCTTTAATCACATTTAAAAGTGGGCTTCCACAAAAAATGTAACTTAAATATAATGGCTTTGAAATGAATGTGCACTTTCATGCCACCTGTTCTAGTAATCTCTCTAGTTATGTATTTCCTGCTCTCTGGAAATACTTACTAACACCCTATTATGAACCTTTCCAAGCAGAGGGAACCTGACTAGTCCATAAGAATGTCTTTGTTAAACCTAGCCCATTGGCCAGCCTCTTCTTCTGCAGCTTCTTGGGAGAGCTTCCTTCTTACTGTGGGTTTGGTTGATATAGGGTTGCCATATGTCTGGGATTTTCTGGACATGTCCTCTTTTTGGGTCCTCCCTGTGGGTCAGGAGCTCAGGGCACAGGCATTGCTAGGGGGTTGTGTGTTGGGAGTGAGAGGCATTAGCAGGGATGGGGGGCTGCAGGTTGGAAGCATAGTCTTGGGGGACAAGGTACTGTGGGTTAGAAGTGAGGGGGTGGCAGGCTTTGGCTTGGGAGTGAGGAGCAGGGGCAGGGCACTGGCATATCACTGCCCCTCCACAATCATATTCCCTCCATTCCTGGCCCCCACCCCTCCCATGGGTCCTCTTTTTTGAAACTGGAAATATGGTAACCTAGTTTATCCTTTTGGTTAGTCTGTTCTTGAGCAACACAAAACTGCTTCCCACCTGCTGCCATTAATCCGGCATGCTGCTCCCTCAGCGTTTCTGTTCCCGTGTGAACTCAAAAGAAATGAGTGGGATAATATCTGAAACATTGCCTGCTGAACAACATATAGAAGAGTGCTAGCTATACTGTTTTCCACTCTGTACACCTATTGAAGCCTTATTTCTACAATAAAAGTTATATGCTAGTTGAGGGCTTTGCTTGAGTCCAACAACCTTCAGGGATTCATGTGTTAGACTGCAACAGAAAAATGGCCTTTTTAAAAATCATTTGAGCTTCTAGGAAAAAATCGGAGGGGAAAGAAATAATGGAATTCAGGAATGAACCAAAAAGTGCTTTAATTGCTCTGTAAACAAAGCTTAGAGTCTTTCCTTCTCAGCAATCCATTAGGATAGGAAACTGTTTTCCTTGTTTGTATTGCTGTAATTCAGAAGAATTAGGCCCAGGCTGAAATCCCACTGTGCTAGGTACATTGCAGACATTAATATCTAACAGGGACTTGCAAGGGAGCTGGATAATGAAAACTCACAGAATATGCCGACTCTGAGATTACAGTGCCTCTGTCTCTTTGCAGAAGCTGCTGTCTGATGACAGATTTGTATCCGTGGAAACAGACGCAGATGAGAAGCAGTTGCTTAATCAGATGCTGAATGCTGTCAAAGTGACTCCTTCACTCAACGAGGACCTGCAGGTAGAAGTGATGAAGGTTAGTGTTTTGCAGACGTCAGTGCTTGCGACAGAGACTGGCTGACTCAATCCTGGGGCTCGCAAATAAATTTGTAAGCATCTTGGAAAGGTTCATATCCTGTCAGCATCTGATCCTCTTTTTCCTGCTGGCAGCGAATGCTTGTTTTCCTTGTTACCTGAACTGTGTTACATCAGATTAAATGGAAATCTCCAAAGTATTGTATCTTAACTTGATTATCTGCCATTTTAATGCTACCCCAGACTATGCAGTAGGAGGTGCCTTTAAACATGCATATCATTTACTATGGTTTGATAGCTGCCTTGGAAGAAGCTTACAGATAATGTAGGGAAGGGGCCAGCAACCTATGAATCCTGGAGCCATTGGATCCAGCCCATGGCTTCAGGGGTGGGGGATGCTACTGCTGTGCCATTCTAGTGCTGTCCATCAAGGGAGAAGCGGCAGTGGCAGCTAGTTCTTAGTGCCAGCCCCAGTCAGGTCACTCCAAGCTGCTGCCACAAATGGTTGCTGACCACTGGTATTGAAGTCTGTGTTTTCAGAAGAGTTAGATGCTCAGTGTTTGTATGCACCCAGAGCCTCAGTCTGTAGTGACCTTAATTGTTTGCACATGGAAGGGCAATGCTCACAGTTGAAAGCTTGGACCATGTTGTTTGTCCATTCTTTGTCTCTCACTAAAGCCCTGTTTTCACTTAGAGCTTTGTCCTTGTCTCTGGTGCCTCAAAATATCTGTCTCTGAAGCTGTGTTGGAGCCACCATCATTTTATATAATTAAAGCAAGCTGTTATTCCTAGATGCGATTGTACAGCTTTAGGATGTTAGTTGAGGCTGCAGGAACTTCATATTTAAGGCATTTCAACATTCTTATCTTGCCCAGCTCCTCTTGTTGTTGGTCAGACATTCTTCTCAAGTTTCCTACTCCCTTGTGTAGATTAGCTTCCCCCTTTCAGGTTTTAGAGAGTAAAGCCCCAATTTTGGCTTAAAGTTAGCTATAACCTTAACTACAAAACTTGCCATTATTTGGATAAGACAAGAATATACTTTCATTACAAAAAATCACTGAGATATTACAAAAGAAAGGAATATTACAGTAATCTGCAGTTACCTTCTGCTATCTTAACTGTGTGTGGCGATAAGATAATATACAGATTTACTATGTATGCTAAGACTACTTTGAGGAAGGAATGAGAGGATGCTGAAAGAAGAATAATTTAGCTTTTGCAAATAGGTTACCAATTTAAAACTCAGCGTGAGTTAGCGTACACACTGGAAGGAATTGTTCCAGGAATACTGCCTGAATAGTATGCTGCCCTCTTTGTTTTTGCAATATTTCAATGAGTCAATGTGGCAACAATACTTCTGAAAGGGCTGTTCAGCTGTGTTCACTTACATCACACCTTTTACAAGTGTTAATACAGGTGTATTCTGGGCGTCCTGAATTATTTATTCTCTATTGTTTTTTGCCATTGCTTGGAGCAAGAGTTTCTGCATTTACCAAACAAGGTATAAAGTACTGCTTGTTGGAGTTCAGAGACACTTTGTTATCCTTGTTAGCAGGAAGTCAGGCAGAAGGCTGGCAGATTTCCACCTTGCAGACTAACTAAATTAGATGCGTATAGTGCATGGATGACCTCTACCTGACTCAAGAAGTCTATGGGCCAGCAAGAGGCAAAGTGCTGCTTGACCTGGTACTGACTACTGGGGATGACCTAATCGGCAACCTAGCGATCGATGGTAAGCTGGGTGACAACGACTGCGAGCTGATCACCTTCGCCATCTGCTGTAAAGCTGGCAAGTCAGTCAGCAACACTGAAGTCCTTGACTTCAGGAAAGCCGACCTTAACAAGCTCAGGAGGCTGGTTAGTGAGGCCCTAAGGGACCATGACCCCAGGGAGAGGGGAGTTCAAGAGGGGTGGCTGCTCCTCAAGGGAGCGATCCTCAATGCACAAGCTAAGTCTTTTCCATCTCGGAGGAAAGGCAGTGAGAGGACACAGCAGCCCCCCTGGCTCTCCAGGGACCTAGCAGACCTCCTTGAGGCTAAAAAGAAAGGCCTACAAAGGATGGAGGATGGGATTCACTTCCAAGGAGGATTATTCTGCACTGGTCTGGTCCTGCAGGGAGCAAACAAGGAAAGCCAAGCCTGCAACTGAACTCCAACTAGCTTCAAGCATCAAGGACAATAAAAAGTCCTTTTTCAGATATGTGGGGAGCCGGAGGAAAAGCAAGGGCAACATTGGACTCCTGCTGAACCAGATGGGACAACTGACACCCAGGAAAAAGCCAACCTATTAAATGGGTACTTTGCGTCAGTCTTTCATCAGTCCCATGGGACGTCCATGCCCGCTACAGGACAGGGAGGTCCAGGTGAGGGAGATCCACTGCCCTCCATTAATGCTGACCTCATGAAGGAACACCTTGAGAGGCTGGATACCTTCAAGTCAGCCGGCCCTGACAATCTACATCGCAGGGTACTCAAGGAGCTGGTAAGCATCATAGACCAGCCTCTGGCACGGATCTTTGAAAACTCCTGGTGCTCTGGTTTAGTGCCTGAAGACAGGAAGAAGGCCAATGTGGTGCTGATCTTCAAGAAAGGGAGGAGTGGATCCGGCTAACTATAGGCCTATCAGCCTGACTTCTATCCAGGGGAAGGTCTTAGAAAAGTTTATTAAAGAGGCCTTCCTTAATGGACTGGCCGATGCCAACATCCTAAAGGCTAGCCAGCATGGGTTTGTTGCAGGTAGGTCTTGCATGACCAGTCTCATTTCCTTTTATGGCCAGATGACCTATCACCTGGACAAGG